TTAAAATACAAATTCATACATTTTCAACCCTTAAAAATCAATTGTTATAAGTGCTATAGGTGAAAACAATTTTTTGCCAAAATTTTGCAACTTTTCAACTTTTGAAAATAACCCTTTACAACATTGCAGTTTTTATAAACTAATTTATAAGATATAAATTGAAAAAAGTAGAATTAAATACAAAAAAATTTATCAACATAAAAAGGCACCATATATTCTTATACATTTACATAAATAGTTGAAAATATTTACATTTATAGGTAAAACAATTGTAATATTAATTTTATTCGTCATCAATTACATCTTCATCGTGATCTATGTCATCCTCATCTTCAATTATTGGTGGACTATTATTGCACCCTTCACCTGAGCACCCAGAACAAGTAGAGTTACAGTATAAACCAACTTTTCTGCACCCACATGAAACACCGCATCCTTTTTTGCATTGCCAAAAAATAATTTTCAAAAGTTCATCGAGTGCAGGTTGTTTGTTCATGCGTACGGGTAATAACAAACCATCTTTGGAATACCATCCCCAATCTGTTGCTCTAATATTTTCATTGCCAAGCCATAGACATATGAGCAGATGTTTTATTCTGTTGTATGGGATTTCAAAATAAGAACGCTTAAAATTTCGAATGTATAACGCCCCACTAGCTAATATACCGGTTTTTTAGATTATTATGCTCCGAAATGTACTGTACTATACTAATAGAATTTTCCGGAAAAAAATTCACTGGTTTTTTTTAACGTATTTCCTTTAATTTTTAACGATAGAGTGTTTCTTCAAAAACGATTTGTAGAGGTTTTAAAGAGCTACAAGAATCTGTGAATTAAATCTTTTTGGAACCCTTGGTTTTTAAATGGGGTGAGTTTAAAGGGATCGAAAAAGATGGTGCTTGATCGTAAATCGATGCTTTAAACGGCTATATCTTGCCAAATATTCATTGTACAACAAATCTAAATGAAGGATAATTTTAGTCATTAAAAAAGCTACAATTTGGTAATTTGTATTTTTTTCATATATTCAGTATTTTCGGGCATATTTAAAAAAAGAAGGGTAAAAAATATGAAATTGTAAATCGTTTCTCGCTTTAAGCTGTACTTTTTCTAACACAAAGCATTTTAAATGGGTCAAACTTCTTGGACATATTAACAATACATGTACAAAGGGAATTTCAGAAGGGTGAAGATCGATTTTAATTATGGAGGTGGTTAGGGGGTTGTTTTCATCGATTTTTTCGTAAAAAATGAGGTATTGACCTTATTTTCATCATAACTCACTCAATTTTTGAGCTAGAGTCTTTTTTATGATAGGTCTATTTATGCTCTTTAAAAAAGGTTTTGTGAGTTTTCTTCCAAAAATGCATCATTTTCCCGATATTTGATTTTGAATCTTTCAAATTTGGCATTTGAAGAAAACCGCTGAACATTGATAGGCCGTATTTCGGTTCCTGTTATATCCCAAAAACATTTTAAAAAATGAATTGTATTTGTCTTTTTAAAAGCTACAAATTTGTTCTCTACAATTTTTTTGATAAAATGCACCATTTTCGAATTATTCGCGAAAAATCGATTAAAAACGTGGATTTTTTCGTCTAAAAGTTATTACTTTCAATCGCGAATAACTTGAAAAATATCATTTTATAAAAAAAATGTATAGCACATTTTTTGTTTAGAATCACTTTTTTAATCGAAACCTGTAGTTAAAACGTAAAAAAAAATTTCACCCCGGAGATGGGGTGGCAACCACCGCCTAGGCTTTGGCGCACTTTGGTTCGATATAGATTTTGATCCTTAGGCTATTACCTACCTTCTGTTAAATTTCAAGTCAATCCAGGGAGCACGAAATAATTGCGAGGTGAAATGCTTCATTTCCTGGACTATAACTGGTTTGACAGCATAAATCGTAGATTTATGTGTAGCTTTCAATTTTTATGAGTTCAGAATCCAGCAGTCCACTGAAGTATTGGATTTTTATAATATAAATATTTGACAATATTTTGTTGGCCAACCAGCTACAACAGAATTGAGCCGAAATACATTATATTCCTATGTTCCGAATTTATTTCGTTCAATCTGTATATATATATATATATATATATATATATATATATATATACAGGGTTAGTCATGAGGAACTTTACATACTTTCTAGAGTCCCTCAGGGAGCATATCATGTGGCCACTAAAAAATGTCAACTCCTCTTCTTTATTAATTAACAGGGTGATTTGTGTAATTGACCATTTATTTCATTTTACTGTAGTGTTTATACGGCTCATTTGATTTTTTTAATTTTTGCATGATACAGTACACTACTATCAAGCATTCGACTGGTATTAGCTAAACTAAAAAATTCCAGGACTGGCTTTGGAAAAATTAATTTAGGGATTCGTATTAAATATTACACCCTGTATATATATTTTTTTAAATGCAATAAGTGATTTTCAAACTACATAAATAGCTAATGAAAACGACATATGCGACAAAGTTGTCGCACTTTTATTAAATTTTTAGTGAACGATCAAATCTTACCAAAAATAGAACAACCATAATGAAGTATCAAATTATAAGGTAATTAATTTAAACAAATGTTATAAATTTCAAACATTTTAATTGAAATGATAAACTGAGTCACTGCACAACAAAAAACAGTAACTACTAACAATAACGAAGAACAATTTAAAAAAAAAACTAAAAATATGTACATAGTTATGATAAACCCATAAATTAGAACTGGAAAAGATACAATAATGGTAACAAAATAAAAATAATTCAAAATAGATTTTCGAAATGGAACCCTGCAGCCTGTACACATTTTTGTTGCCGAATTGTTAATTGACGTATTGAATTACGGATACTCTGGGGATCGTTTCTAATAGTATTACAACAATGTATAATTCTATCAATTAATTGTTGTCGGTTATTAATATTCACTGCGTAAAATAGTTGCTTCAATCGTCCCTAAATATGGTAATCAACGGGATTGAAATCAGGGGATCTTGAAGGCCACGAAATAGGACCTGCACGTCCTATCCACCTGTTGCCATAAACATTATTGAGATGTTGTCTCACTGCCAGTAAAAAGTGTGGGGGTGCCCCATCATGCTGAAAATACACCGCTCGGATAGCAACGTTCGCGTTGGCAAGCAAATTTGGCAAAATATTTTGTAGAAAGTTCAAATAGACCTGCCCTGTTAAAGGACCATCAAAAAAGTGAGGACCTACTAATTGGTTATTTATGACACCAATCCACACGTTAACCGAAAACCTTAACTGAGAACGACGTTCTCGAATAGCATGGGGATTTTCTTCTGCCCACACATGTGAATTTCGTGAATTATTTATCCCGTCTCTGGTAAATTGGGCTTCATCTGTAAATAGTGTCCTGTATAGCGTTGGTCGATTATTGTTAATCCATCTACAAAATTCCAACCTATCGATCTCATCTCCAGCATGTAGTCGCTGAACCATTTGAATGTGATATGGGTATAGATTATTTTTTGTAAGACTCTACTTACTTTTGATTGAGTAACATTGAGTTCTCGACTTACTTGTCTAGTGCTTATTGTAGGGTTCATAGTAACGGCGTCCATAATGTCATCTTCCTGCGCTTCATCTACATGTCGCTCTGTTGTTCCACTAGGAAAAGTGCCATTTTCTCGCAAATAATTAAAAACTGACCCAAATGTTGGATGACTGGGAGTTCGACGATTAGGAAATCTCCTGCGATATTCTCTACTAGTAGCCCTACCATTCCCATTACAGAATCCATAAACAAATATTATGTCTGCATATTCTGTGGTCGAAAACTGATGTGGCATTTTGAACGAAAGTAACAAAAGCTCTACCACAACTAACACAATGTACTTAACGTAGATATGACAGAAGAAATATGTATTCTTGTACACATAAATAACAATTGATAATGACAATGATGACAATGGGTATAAAATATCAAGAAACGTCAAACAGTCAACGCCAACCTTCATTTTAAACTTTTTTAGATTTATTTTTATTTAGTACAGTTGATGCAATGTATTATTATTTGACATAAAATTTTAATCATTTACAATCAACAAAAACTAACACATACAAGAGGTTTGACTTTTTAATCAATTTAATTTATTATTTATCGAAAATAATGCCCCAATACGATCTATGAGTAAAAATTTAAAATTGAAAAACAATTGATTCTATCGTAGAGATAATACAAAGTGACAGTAAAGATGTTAATTTTCTACGTATTAGATTATGTTGTAGGAACTCATTTTAATTAAAATGTTTGAAATTTATAACATTTGTTTAAATTAATACCTTATAATTTGATACTTCATTATGGTTGTTCTATTTTTGGTAAGATTTGATCGTTCACTAAAAATTTAATAAAAGTGCGACAACATTGTCGCATATGTCGTTTTCATTGGCTATTTATGTAGTTTGAAAATCACTTATTGCATTTTAAAAATATATATATACATGGTGTAATATTTAATACGAATCCCTAAATTAATTTTTCCAAAGCCAGTCCTGGAATTTTTTAGTTTAGCTAATACCAGTCGAATGCTTGATAGTAGTGTACTGTATCATGCAGAAATTAAAAAAATCAAATGAGCCGTATAAACACTACAGTAAAATGAAATAAATGGTCAATTACACAAATCACCCTGTTAATTAATAAAGAAGAGGAAGCTAGTGATTCAGATTTTTTCAGTTGGACTCCGCTTAGTATTTGGTCTTTAGAACCATTGTTTGACGACGTCGCAGTCACACTTGCATTGAGTCAGATAGTTCTGCTAACGAAGCCTAATCTGACTCATGCAGTGTACCTGCCGAACTCGTAAAACAATGTTTTCTAATAACAAAAATACTATATATATATATATATATATATATATATATATATATATATATATATATATATATATATAATTTACTAAATGAAATTAGTGTAATAAGTCGAAATAACTACTACAAATATTTTACAATTCTTTTTTAAGGTGGAATGCACGAGGAGGGTTCTAAGCAAGTTACCTTTAGCGATTTTTATTCGTTAGATTTGAAAAAACTAGACGAATGGAAAACTATTATCGCAGATGATACGTCTAGTTTGGAGTGGCTAGAATCTGACTCGGAGGATGAAGATGTTAGTGATGATAATGACGATGAGGAGGAGGATGTCGACGAAGATGAAGACTCAGATGATTCAGAAATGGAAGTGGAATGACAGTGTTATTGAAAAGAAAAATATTTTGTTATAAGTTGCCTGTTGTTACATTTTTTAATAAAATTTATAACACTTCGATTTTTACTATAACATTGTCACCTAATTCCCACAGGATAGATATATTCCGAATTGTTGAGGTAAAAAGATTGTGGTATTTACGATAATTGCAATTGTTGAAGCGAAGCTTCTATACTGGCGTTGTATTACTTTTTCTCTATAGTAAAATGCTGAAGCGAGCGGCACGGAACTAGCACCACGAGAATGCATCGATGGGCGTGCAGGCATCGTTTGTGACGGTTAGGATATGGGTGGATAGTAGAGACGTTATTGGAGGGGAGTGGCTTGATGTGGAGGGTGGGGGTGTTGATGGGAGGGTGGGTTTTTAAGAGGTATTTTTTTATACTAATTTGTTTTGTCTGGTTTGGTGTTGGTTTTTTTGGGTGTTTTGTTTTTGTGGAGAGTTTTTTTGTGTGGCGGGTTTATTCATTTACTGTTTTTGTTTTTGTGAGTGTATGGTAGTGATGGTCTACGGTACGTGGAATTGACGTGGGGCGTTAGGGGGGTTGTGGGGTAGTTTATGGGATGTTTGAGGATGATTGGTTGTTCTTGTGGGTTGATGCGGGGGTTTTGGGGGGGTAGGGGAGTGGGAGGGGGGGGTATGTTGGGGGTGAGTTTTAGTATTGTGAAGTGGGGGGATATTTAGGGGGTTCGGGGGGTGGGTGCACGTAGATGTGAGGGGGTTTTTTGGGGTATGGGGTGGCATTTGTCTTTCGTTAGGGGGGTTATTGGGAGTGGAGGTGTGGAATGCTAGGCTGACTTAGGGGGGACATGGGACGCGACGGCTGAGGACTAAATGGCGGGGGGGTAGTGGTGTGGGGTGTGGGTGGGGGTGGGGGGGTTGGAGGGTGTGGTGGGTGGGTGGGTGGTGGGGGGTTGGGGGGGGGGTGTGGGGGGGGGGGGGGTGGGTGGGGGGGGGGGGGTGGGGGGGTGGGGGGGGGGGGGGGGGGGGTGGGGGGGTGTGGGGGTGGTGGGTGTTATTGGGTGGGGTTTAGTGGGTTAGTTTGTTTGTGTGGTGGGTACTGGGGGCTAGGTTGGGAGGGACACTCATGCTCCCCAAACGGTGTATTGGCGCTATGTGGTACTTTGAGTTGATTATTGTAGGATGGGTTTTGGGATTAGCGGGGGGTCAGGGGTACTTGTAGGGTGGGGTCACTGGTCTGTGGTGAGTAGAAGTAAGTTTGGATGAGGAAGTCGTGTGAGTTGGGCGTTTGGTTTGTTTTGGGGGGTCGGGGTTGGGGTCTAGGGGGTGAGGTAATTTTTCTGGGGTTGGGGAGTGTTTTGGGGTTTGTTTATTTTGTACGGTGGGGGGATAGAGAGGGGGAGGGGAGTAGGTGACGGGGGTGTGATAAACCTACTATTCGGTCGCGTAGCCGCATAGAACCGGTTCTGTTCGGTGGGGGTTTTGTTGTTGTGAGTGTGTTTTTCTGGGTTTGTTGTGGTGTGTGTGCTGAGTTTTTTTGGTACTGCTGGGTATGGGGGACTGGAGGTCTGTTCTGTTTATAGGCGTGAGTATAAGGTAATTTTTGTGACTTCTCTTCTAATTAACTGGAGAACAGTAGACAAAAAATTTTGGAGCAACGTTTCTTCTCATTATATTTCCTTTAAGTTGAGCCCATATTAACTCTATTGGGTTCAATTTACAATAATAAGGAGGAAGTCTAAACATAGCATGCTCGTTACTACGAGCACAGTTGTCAACAACATATTCCTTTTCGTACTGTTTACTATCAACAACCTCCAACAATTGCTTTTTAATATAAGATGTCTCAAAATACAAATCTTCCGTGAATAAAAATTCCTGAATTTTTAATTTATTCCAACTATTATTTGAAGTTTTTTTCATTAATCTTGAATGATATGATGCGTTGTCCATGATAATCACACTATCTTTACACATTTTTCAAACCATGATTCAAAAATTGAACTTTCCATATCGTCATGATAATCCAGAGACGCGTTTTTAATTTGTTTTGTAGATATTAATAATGCATCGTCGACCCATCCATTTTCTCCACCGCAGTGTAAAATTATAATCCTCTTTCTTTTATTGGGCGGTACTGAGTTGAAACACTTTTTGTTATTATTTGTCCAACTTTTTTTGTCACGGTGTTATGAGTATCATACCAGGTCTCATCTAAATAAACAATATTTCGTTTCATTTTTCGATACTCAGTTATCTGTCTGATATAATTGTTTCTGATAAGAAATTATTCTAGTACTATCCATTAATGTATGTCTCTTGTCTATAGTTTTGTACTTAAAATTATTGGCTTTAAGAAATAATCGAAGTGTTGTTGCTGAACACGAGAGAATGCACTTTCGAACTAATTCACTTCGAAGGCTCTCAATAGTTGGTATATTGTTCTAGTTATAGATTCAATTAAGTGCGGTTCTATTTTTCTGAATTTGCCACAATCCTTTCTCTTCTGTCTAGAAGAAGATGTTTCTCCTATAATTTTGTAGCAGGTTACTTTGGGCACTCTGGTTAAAAAACTTGTTTCTGCAATTGACTCTGATTTAGACAATTCAGCACACAGTCCTTCATAAACATTTTTTAGCATACGTTTGGCTTCATCAGAAAGGTATTGAAAATGTCGCTTACGTTTTACTACACGCCTTTGTAAATCTTCCAATCGATTAGAGTGTTTCATTGTCTCTTCAGCTACATAATTATTATCGCACCACGGACGCAATATTTTAAAAAAATTATCAAACGTATAAAAACATAATCACGTAAAAACGTATCAAAAAAAGTAAAAAACGTAAAATATAAAATGTTTTCCGTATAAAGAACACTGAAAAAAGTCACTACCAAACTAACTTGCGGTTCACTATTTGAAATTTGAATTTAACTGAACGCTGTAGCAGTTATGATTTTAATTTTATTTTTAATTAATTTTAAAATATTCTTGTCTCCCAAAAATCTGTTGGTCATATCCGCATTTTAAAAATAAAATATGAAGTGCCTTCGGCACTGGACGGTCGAAACCAGATCCCTTATTTTATGACTCCGTAAGCTCAGTCAAATACTGATATAATCTTACCCCAAGTATGAATAAGTCTACCAACAAAAGATAATGCATTATGATTTGTCATAACAGCGATATCGGATGTTTTCATTGGCCGTTAGTCCACGTGGACTTATCATAAGTTCGATGAAAACTTAATTGGTTGATTGTTCATATCTGGTTCATATTTTAAAAGATTATACCAGGCGCGTCTGAATGTTAATATCGAGTGGAATCTGGAAACTTTGTATTATTATACGTCTGAGTCATTGATAATTTTATAGACTCCTGGTAGAGTACCTTTTTGTTGAATGATTTTATTACAGATACATATATTTTTGCACAGTCTCACGGAAATACGAGGCTACTATAAGTACCTATTGCTTGCTATAACTCGTGTGTATGAAGTTCATTTGAGGATGGCTAGTTGTTTTATGTCAACATGGGTAGTGTTACTAATATTTAATTATTAGTTAAATAACGGGATTTTGTTTTGTGCTTTTGGTATGCCAAAGGTTATCTATTAAATATTTTTCAGGTGTGAACCAAATGCCCAGATTAAAGTCCTTTATTAAAAGATCTATCAAGCGTAGTCGCACATTGATTAAATGTCAGAAAAATAAAAAAGAAATTTCAGTAGCAGCTTGTGATTCTACAAGTGGCAAAGAGAAGTGAGTATCTATATTTATATTTTATTTACATTGCTTGAAAAAATGGTCATCATGTGAAAAAGTATTGTCAGTATCATGTAAATTTTGTCTTTTGTTATAATACTCTGCATAAAAAGAATGCAAATTCAGGAACTCATTTTAGATAAATTTAGTGTAAATAACCTTATCCAAAATGCTCAAGTCATTTATGTGTGTCATTCTGTAAGCAGTAACGAATTTGTTAAATCAAAGTGTTTAGAATATCTTATTATAAAAAAAAAAGACTTAAAAAGAGACATTTTGTAAACTATAACCATACCAAATTTCATTGTAAAATTGTGTTAAGTTTACATGGACTGACAAGATATAAGACAGCAATACTTCTGTTGTTTTTAGCAAAGAAGCAGTGCAATCAACCTCATCAGATTTACATGAGTTCAGCTTTATTTCTTCAGAAGAATATGAAAGTAAAGATAGAATAGTGTGTCTATTTAATTACCAACAAACACGTTTCAATTTTAGCATTAACAATCATCCCCTAGAAATTAAAAAAGAACCAGTAAAACAAACATATCTTTATGGACAGCGAATTGTTGACTTACATTATGTCCTACAGTGGGCGTTAAACTTAATTTTGCTCATTCGAAAGTTTGCACGATGTTAAATCTACAGATAATTGATGAAGAACATAAAGGTTTAGTTTCAACAGTGGTACTACTATGCACAGTTAACAGGATTGTTAGATTTGTAATAATACAGTAATAAAGTCCAAATTTAATTTAATTGATTTTTTTAAAGGTGCTTTGGATATACCTTCCATGTCTTATCGATTGTTCCAAAATATTGAAATTGAACTTGGGGATAAGTTGATAGAAGGATTATGGAAGTCCATGGAAGAAGCTGGTCTAAAGAAAAGAGAATTGTCTATAGCAGAAGGGCAACTAGATTCTGATGGCATAGCATGGACTACTGTGTATTGTGATGGAGGTTGGAGTCACAGATCTTATAGACATAGGTATAATGCATCATCTGGCGTTGTATGTATATTCATACAAACCTAAATTTCTTACATTTTAGGCAGTTATTATTGGAAAATTTACTAAAAAATTATTATATTTGGGAGTTAGAAATAAGTATTATTCATTCTGTGTCCGTTATGAATCTAAAAACGAACCTGTACTTCTTCACACGTGTTATAAAAACTGGCAAGGCTCATCTACCGCAATGGAGACATCTATAATAGTTGAAGGATTTAAACAAAGCCAAATTCTAACCATGCAATTAAAAATTATGGAAAAGCTTTATATAAAATTAAAGCGGATACTACAGTCAACAAAGAAGCTAGAGCACTTCTGACT